TCTATGTGGTGGTATATTTCACAAATAAGAAGATTTCTTTACCAAGTGGGCAAATTTTGTTTTGACTAGAGCAGCAAAATATGAATACGTCTATTTAATTTATAGTTGTTACACAAAAGTATATCATAACTGCGGTAATAACTTGCAGGAATTCAAACCAGAAGTAAGTTACAAGCATGCAATCTAGTTTGATATAGAAACATATCAGAATGAAGGAACAATTTCATATCATGTGTCGAACATTATCATTGTGGAGAAAGCTTGGTCTGCCTCTGCATCGGCTTCTTTCCTCTTTGCAAACCGGCCCTTGATCCGTGGTCTTGTCTCTGCATACGCCTTCCTTGAAGCATATCTTATTGTCTTCTCAAATTTCCTCATCTTCTTCTTCTCATTGTATCTCAGGACTCTAGCTTCTCTGTCCATTGGACTAAGCATCTGAGTTGGAGGTTCAGGTAGTTGGTCTACTACTGCTTTGGGCGATCTTGGGTGTGATATTGTTATGTCACTCGTTGACTCTGGCACAACTTCGATATGACTTACCATATGACTTGGGGAACCATTGGAGGAGCTTTGATGATCTCCTGAGGAGCCATGGTGAAACCGAACTGAAAGTCGTATTGCTCATGGTGCATGTGACCCTTTAATTCAACTTGAAGTGGAACAACTCCATCTCCCCCATAGCTCCCCTGAGGTACGTTGTAGCCTTGGTGATATTCATTGGATTGATCTGTGAATTGCTTGTCCATACTCGAACTGTAATCGACAAGGTCTAGACACTCGTCACCAATCGAGAACCCATTGTTGTTGTTACCATACTAGGCAACAACCAAGAAGCCGCCTCTGCTTCATCTTCATCCTCTTCTTGACCCACCACCAGTCTGTTCTCTGGATCTGTCGTCACTGTTGTCTCACTTGAATGGTTATTCGCCATGGAACTGTAAGAGTTTCCAGAGATTGGCAGAATTGGAACTCGTTGATGGCGTCTAGCAAGTGGGTTTGCGGAACGAATCTCTGAATCACAGGCTGTGCATAGAGATGCAGCATCTGCCTTGCAAAAAAAAGGCAGCAGGGGCTCGTTCACATAAATTTGGGCTCTATATTTCCACCAAAATCAAATTCAAATTCCCAATTCTAGTCAACACCTATGACCTAATGGACCCGGATTATTCCCTAATTCGATCATCCAAATTCATGATTTCTACAAATCAAATCTACAATTCTCCAAAATCAAACTCAGAAACAGAACCAAGACTTACTCTTAAGCTCATCGACCCAACGACCGACGCTCTCGAAGGTGGTTCGGTGGCTAATGTCGTATACGACGAGCGCACCGACTGCGCCACGGTAATAAGCGGAGGTAATGGCACTGGATT